AAAAAAAGGGAATGGAGGCATCACACTCCCAGGCTTCAAACTATACTACAAAGCCATAATCATCAAAACTGCATGGTATTGGAACAAGAACAGACACACAGACCAATGGAATCCAATAGAAAATCCAGAAATAAACCCACAGATTTATGGTCAACTAATATTTGACAAAGGAGCAAAGAATATGCATTGGAGCAAAGAAAGTTTGTTCAATAAATGGTGCGGGGAAAACTGGGTTGCTACATGCAAAAGAATGAAGCTTGACTACTACCTCACACCATACACAAAAACCAACTCAAAATGGATTAAAGAACTATACATAAGACCTGAAACCATAAAATACATAGAAGGAAATATAGGCGAAACATTACAGGACATGCACCTCAAAGACATATTTACAGACACATCACCCAAAGCAGTGATAGTGAAGACGAAGATAAACAGCTGGAACTACATCAAATTAAAGAGCTTCTGCACAGAAAAAGAGACAATAACAAAAAACAAAGAGAAACCCCACCGACCGGGAGAATTTTTGCACACAACGCTAATGATAAAGGACTGATCACAAAAATCTACAAAGAGCTGATGAGACTCAAAAACAACAAAGAAAATAATCCTGTCAAAAAATGGGCAGAAGAGTTAAAAAGAAACTTCTCTGAAGAGGAAATGCAAATGGCCAACAGGCATATGAAAAAATGTTCACCATCACTTGTAATCAGGGAAATGCAAATCAAAACTACCATGAGATACCATCTTACATCAGTGAGAATGGCACATATTAAAAAAACTAGCAACAACAAATGTTGGCGAGGTTGTGGAGAAAAAGGAACTCTCCTGCACTGTTGGTGGGAGTACAAACTGGTCCAGTCACTATGGAGAGCTGTGTGGAGATTTCTGGACCTACTAAACATAGAGCTTCCATATGATCCAGCAATTCCACTCCTAGGTATTTACCCAAAGGACACAGAAACATCAATTCCAAAGAGCACCTGCACCCCTATGTTTATGGCAGCACTATTTACAATAGCTAAGCTTTGGAAACAGCCCAAATGCTCCAAAATAGATGACTGGATCAAGAAGATGTGGTACATATACACCATGGAATATTACTCAGCATTCAAAAAAGATAAACACATGCAATTTGCAGCAACATGGATGGTGCTAGAAGGGATCATGCTCAGCGAAATAAGGCAGAAAGAAGAAGAAAAATACCGGATGGTCTCACTCATAGCAGGAATCTAGAAAACTTAAATAAGGGACCAGGAAAAAGAATAACTATAAGAAAGTAAAAATCAAAATCAACAAACAACTATGAGCCAGAGACACTCTATGGGGGGTGGGGGGCAGGGAGGGGAGGGATTGTGGTCAAAATAAGGGGGTTGCAATTGTATGGGGAATATAAAAATAAAATTTATAAATTAAAAAAAAAGTGAAAAAAAAAAAAAAAAAGACCAAGTGGAGGCCCCTAGAACTGCCTCAAACAAATGATGTATTTCTGAAGAAACTACAGCAATTAGTACCACTATTAAGGACTTGAAGGATGCTGATTTCCACCGTACCCCCATTGAACCCTTTCTTTTTTTTTTTAAAGATTTATTTATTTATGGGCCTCCCATGGTGGCGCAGCAGCTGAATGCTGGGTTGCAAAGCTGCCCACAGCCTCTGCAGCGCCAGTTCAATCCCCGGTCGCCAGCGAGGGTCCCACATGGCATGCAGACCTCTCCTGCCACGCCCGCTGCTCCCCTCAGCAGTGTATTTCTTAATCAGACTGCCTGTTCTGTTCCCTGCTCTGGCTCTGGTGGATTCTCTCACCCTCCCACGCTTCTGACTGTACCCGGTGCTTGTATAAAAATAAATAATTAAAAATAAAGAGATTGATTTATTTATGCATATAAGAACTGGGTCACAGGCCAGAGGTGTGGGGGTAAGAGGATTCACCAGAGACAGACTGGGGAACAGAATAGGCAGATTGACTGAAATACACTGCTGAGGGGAGCAGTGGGCAAGTCAGGAGTGGTCATGCTGCACCATGCAGGCAGCTCCCTGGGCAGGGATGGAACTTGTGCTACAGTGGCTGCAGACAGGTTCATAGGTTGTGCCTCAACCCTTTGGGCCACCAGAGAACCTTTCTGTTGGTCTGTGAAACCCTTTCTGTGAACCCTTTCTGTTGGTCTGTGAAAATGGATCTTGGGGAACAATAGTTAATTACCACAAACTTAACCAGGTATTCTAGTATGTTAACACATTCCCTGGTTCCTGGTATGCAGCTATTAATCTCGCAAATGTTTTATTCTATAGGTAAAGACTACCAGAAGCAGTTTATTTTCAGCTGGTAAGGCCAAAAATACATCTTCACTGTAGAACTTCAGGGGTGTAACAACTCTGCAGCCCTACATCGTAATTTAGTCTGTATGAATCATGGATTGTCTTCCTTCCATATCACAGTGGTTCATTATAATGATGTCATTATGCAAAATGCAAAAAATAGCAATTACTCTTAACATACTGGTAAAATAGTTTCATATCAGAAAGCGGGAATTAAACCCCACAAAAATTCAGGGGACTTCCACCTCAGTGAAATCTCTACACGTCCAGTGATGTTGGTCATGTTGAGATATCCCTTTGAAGAGAAAGACCAAGTTGCTGCTTCTGATCACCTTTAAATCCAACAAGGCACAATTTGTACCTTCTCTTTGGATCTTACAGAAATGTATTCATCTTAGTATGCTACTCTGGCCCATTTACCGAGTAACCCAATACCCAGTATTGAATAGGGCCCAGAACAAGAAAAGGCTTTTCAATCTGTCCAGCCTGCTCTGTCATTTGGGATCCAGTAGATGTCAGTGGTAGAGAGATGCTATTGACATATGGAGCCTTTGGCAGGTCACTATGGGTGAATCACAGTGCAGACCGTAGGATTCTGGGGCAGTCATTCCATCCTCTGTGAATTCCATCATTTTGCAAAGTTGGTTTTAGCTTGCTACTGGAGCTCGGCATACAATAAGATTAAACATGAGCCATCAAGTTCATGAAATGTTCATGAACTGGGTGCTCAATGAATATTTGAGCAAATATATATATTACAAATTCTAAAATGTAGTAGAGACATGGTGCAGCTTTTAGTAAGTTTCTTATTTAAAAATAAAGATTATCATGAACATGTAAAATCCAGTGTTTAAAGTGATGACACACCACACACAGGCACATAATCAGTCATCAATATTTGCTTTTCATCTCAAAAACTTTCCTTTTTAGACATTAGTCAAAAGGCAATTTGAGTTTAGAAAACCATCAATTTCAAATGTGATCACGCATGTCATCTTATTGCTGCAACTTTCATCAATAATAAACCATCAATAGAAATAGGCAGGACAATACTTAAAAAGCTTTTGCAAATATACCTTGGAAATAGTGACTGAAATACATGCTATAAATGGATGTTTCCTAATTTCTCGGACCCTATCCCTCCCTTACAAAAAATGTACCAAGTGCTATAGCTATAGATCCACTTAAACAAGTTCCTCCCTCATAATTTGTTGAATTATATCTAGTTTCATCTTTTGCTTCCTTTGCAATTTAAGGATAAGGAATTCTTTAGCTGTCTGGACTATAAGAATATGAGTAGTTAGGTCTGTTCTTCACATTCTTTTTTTTTTTTTTTGTGAGCAATTTCAAATCTATTGGTTCTGAAAAATGCTTTTAGATGATAGATGTGGTCTAGAGCTTTTCACCAGTTTAAAGGTCTTTGAGAGATATAAAAACTTCAAATATCAATAGCTTGATATTGTGAGTAGGTCTGATCTGACAGTATTCAAACTTTATTATTTCAGCAAAAAGCCTTCCCACCTAGAAGTTTCCTTAGTCTTGAGATTTTCCTGGATTCTGTGGATAGCACTGGTAAACCTGCTGCTGCAAAGCGGGATGAAGGAACCCTCTTAGATTATTCAGACTGAATTTGATAATAGATTATCTATTCCGCAGATGGCTATGAACAAAGGCAATTGGAATTTCTGTAGTATATAAGATTGCAGTTGTCTTCCAGTCTTCTCTCATTTCCTTCATAATGGATTAAGGATAGATAGGGTAAATCTTTTACTTGCTTATTCCTTATATTTTATGACTGGGAACTTAAGATTTTTAAATATACACCTCTTCTTTAACATGAAGAATGTGGATATATTTTCAATTTTTTTTCTAACAAAAACTTGTTTTCTGCACGACAGGTTAAAGAAAATACTCATAATTCACCCATAAGTCTGGCAAATTTCCTTCTAGCCTTTTAAATATGCAAATATATGGTTTTATTTCTATTTACTACCTGTGTTAACCTACATGCTCAGGCAGCTTTGTTCCATTCTAAATGTGTTTTTAATTCAAGGATTAGGTGGCTAAGCCTAAATTTGGCATAGTAATCTCTCACCCATTTTCTGAGGTGAAAGAACTATTTTCACAGCCCAGCTACATATCTTTTAAGTATCTTGAACACACTTCAGTTTCTACCAAGCACCCTTATATTTGTTAATCACAATCATTTAATTTTGCCATCATAGGTAGAAATGAGGCTTTTCCTAGAAGAGTCAAGTGGAATGCCAGACAAGTCTTAACAATCCACTTCTGTCTGATCCTCATTCAAGTGCAAAGTAGTCGTATGTTCTTCATAAATGAGTCAAGGAAATGCTCTAGAGTAAATGACTCTTGAGACTTTCATCACCTAGCCATATATTAGGTTATAACTTTATTGAGTCAAAGGAAAAGGATCTCCTTTTCTGGTGTTTAAAACTTAGGAATTTGTAGGCATATTCACTTTTCTAAAAAGTGAATTGCTTTTCTTAAGGTTTTTTCTTGCCTTTCCAGACTATCAAGTGTTACACTGACATAAAATCTGTATATTTAGAACTAGAAAATCCAGTGTTCCTCCTAAAACACCACTTTCAGTTATGTCTTTACACATAGCCTGATTATATACCCCACCTACACTAAAGTTAACGTATTGAAGTCAAAAAGACATTCCACCTCTACATACAGAATTAAAATTTATTTTAGAGGTAAAGTTTTATACATCCTTTTAAAAATGAAAATTCAAAAGTCTCAGAATGAAACGATCAGTATTCAACATTATAAAGCTATTTTTAACAGTGATTAAAGTAGTGAAAACATTTTACCCTTACAAAAATGTCACAGAATTCAAATCACAACTTGGATCCTCAATGATTCAAGTGTTTTATCTTATACAGTAAGGGCTGGGTCAGTTTTAAGAAAATTCTTCCAGATATGCTGGGCTCAATTCCTCTATTATCACCATCCATCAGCTCACACAGTGGGATAGCTGGCTGCTGAAGCGATTCCACAGTGGTTGTTTTTATCTTTGGTCATTTTTACATAGCCATTATCACCCCATTCTGTACCCCAACTGAAAGAAAAGCACATTCCATGTCATCTAAACAAGCAAGAAACATGAGCTTCATTCACAATAAAATGGTGCTTACCAGCTATCAAACATTCTTCTAACTACTGTAACACATATTAATTCTTCTAGGTTCTTAACTTTTTGACAGGAAATTGAGGCAAAACTTGGATTCCAGAATAGTAGTCTGTCTCTACAGGCTATCTTAACTAAAGAACTGTGAAACTGATTCTGACAATCCTCATGGCCTCTGAGACTTGGGAAGTGAACACAATAGCGTGGTTCCCGGTGATAAAGATGCACAAAGGCCACTTGCACAATCTTTCCAACTTCTGCTCATGTAACCATTTTGAGAAACTGGAGACAAAAAAAGGAAACCATTCTCTAACCCCAGATACAAAATCTTGGGGCCAAGTGTGTTTCTGATGTAAGACAATTTTCAGAAATTAGGAATATAAAGCTACAAATAAAAAATAACCTCACAAGCTTGCTACACAATTTATAATCAAACATCAGTACTTCTGAGTTTACGTTAAGTAAGAAGATGACTTCTAGGGTTTCAAAACTGAGCTTTTGTGACTTGAAAAAATATACTGATTCTAAACAAGGAATCCTTTACAACAAATCTGGAATTTTATACCTGTTCTTGACAATCCAAAATTTATTGTTATTTGAATCTGTTCCTTCAACGCCATAGCCAACCACCAGAACACCATGATCCAGGTCTTCGCTGCTGCAACTTGGTTCATAATAAATACCTGGGAGAGTAAAATTCAATATTGAGGTCAGGTGCACCAAGTGACATGTCACAATAACCTGCCTAAGATATGTATCTCACAAGCCAGTCACTGTCATAAACAAATTTCAAGACTAAAAAAATATAATTGTTGGGCCTCCCTGGTGGCGCAGCAGGTTGAGTGTGGCACTGTGAAGCTGTCCACAGCCTCTGCAGTGTCGGTCGATCCCCGGCCAGCCAGGGAGATACCCACATGGCATGGCAGACGTCTCCTGCTGTGCCCGCTGCTCCCCTCAGCAGTGCTTTCGGTCCGGCTGCCTGTTCTGCTCCCTGCTCTGTCTCTGGTGAATCCTCTCACCCTCCCGCACTTCTGGCCTATACCCCAGCTCTTGTATAAATAAATAAAATCTTAAAAAAAAATTATAAAATATAAAATTGTAGATAAAAAAGGAAAAAGCCAAACTCAACTCAATAGAAATAAAGTTCAGTTAAATCATACTTATCAAATATCAGCTGAAGATATCTTCTACTTTAAAAGACTTGCAATAACATGATCTATTGGCATGAAGGCTAAAGTGAGGTGAGATACTCAGCTACAATATAGTAATTAGCATAATCCTTTTATACTCTTAGAATTGACTTCAACTAAGGATAGTTGAGCACAAAACAAAATACTTGAGCCACAGGGTTCTCTATCGTAGAATTATAATGGTAAAAATATTTTGAAATAAACATCCAACACTAGAATACTTATGTAAACTAGATTGTATCTTTGGAATTAATTACATAGCCATTGAGAACTAATTATGAAGTTTGTCAGCATGATAAATGCTTGCAGCATGTCAAATGGAAATATCCTTATGGTGAATGCACACTCAAAATCCTACAGTCCTTGAAAGCAGGGTTCCCTATCAAAAAGTCTATCATGGTGTTGTGTTTCAATTTTGCTGCCTGAATTTCAGTAATAAACACCCACCTGATTTATAGAACTGGAAGGACGAATGGCTTGCATCAATAGCAACAGAGATAGGCCCCACAGTAGCCACTGCCTTCATAAGGGTCTTCTCCCGATTTGGGATATCCACGTAGCCAGTGTCATTGGCAGCAGAAAACTCAGGTTTGTATTTACAAGTATCTGAGTCCTTCAAAGGTATCAGAAAAGAGACTTGATTACTGCCAGTTACAACCTGGGGAATATGAGTTCTAGGACCATAAGACTCAGAAGTTTGTATCTTAATGACTTCTAACAAAGTCAGATTTATTATAAGCAAAATGCTACTAGTTGGTTTGGAACTTGGAAAAATTAGCAGACATTTCTTCAGTGAGACCATAAGAAATGTCCCACTATGGGTAAATTTGCATTATGCTGAATGGTTCATATATTCTCCGTATTAAACAGAAATCAAAACAACTATTGGTTAATGAACTTATCAGAAACTGCAAATGCTGATAATGAGTTATAACGGTTTCATCTAAAAATGTGAATGTTGAATAAGGTGTTTGTTAGCTCTAAACTTTCAACCCACTCAACTTTCAAAAGGAGAGCTGGAATGACAAATGAGCTCCATTTACCTTTGCAAGATATGGATAGGAGTCTTCTGAGTCCAGCCCTCCATTTTCCTTAATATACTGGAAGGCATAATCCATTAGACCACCATTGCAGCCTTCATTGCCTTGCGACCGTGAACAGTCCACCAGATTCTGTTCACTCAATGAAACAAGTTTTCCAGTTTTCTGGAACATCTGTCCTTCAAGGGAACCAGTTGCACTAAAAGCCCAACAAGAACCACACTGGCCCTAAAAATAAAAAAGCTGTCAGTTTACAAAAGAAGACACAAAGACTAATATAATTGTCCATATACCTGGACTTAACAAAACCTAGTAAACTGCATGTCACTCCATCATGCCTTTTTGATTTTCCTATTGGAGCCAGTAGATCTGAACTTGAATACCACCATACTTGGTACAAATGATAGAATGAACTGATAGAATACCTGATTCTTTACAGGAGTTACATAGCCTTTCTTTCTCCAGTCCACAGATTTGGGGACTTCAAGCAAGAAAGGTGATTGGAACATTTTCCCCATCTTCTTTTGTTTCTTCTTTTGAAAGCCATTCATCACCTGCTTGAATTCTTCATTGGTCTTTAAGAAAAAGTAAGCAAAATGTTGAAAAATCAAGAGATTATTTGGTACAGTACTGAAGAGAGGCATACAAAAAGCATAGCAATCCATGTCATACTCACCATGTCACCAAAGGAATTCATGGCCATTGTGAAGCCATGATTCCCTAGGCTGTATTCCCGATTGTGCAGTTCAATCATTTTCATATTTTTCTCCCACACTGCTCTTCTCCATCCTTCTTCACTCTAGAGACAAAAATGTAAAACCAACTCACCTTCACCAAGTGGGTTCGAAGAAAGAGAAAGAGAAACACCATGGGTAGGGAAGACTATCTGTGAGCTGTTCTCCAGCACCCACCCAACAGTGCCGTGAAGTTGTAAGGTTGATGAGTGCTGCCTTCCAGAAGCTATGCTCTGCTATAAATTCCCATTAGAGGGGCCTCCTTGGTGGCGTTAAGACGCAACCTAATAGGCTATCCACAGCCACTGCAGGAGTACTCCCTGGCCAGGGAGCAACCCACATGGCGCAGCAGACTTCTTACTTGCCTGCTGCTCCCGCAACATTGTATTTCCAACAATCTGCCTGTTCTGTTCCCCACTCTGTCTTTGGTGAATCCTCTCACCCACTACACCTCTGGCCTGTACCCCAGTTCTTGTATGTATAAATAAATCTTTAAATTCCCATTAGACCATCCTCTGAATGGGTCATTGTGGGCTGTTTTCAGATGTTACCAACCATGCCATAGAGTCTCCTATGAGTTGACTTCCACTGGGACCATTGTGCATCTAAAGTCTGATCAAATTTTGGAGAAGCTGAGCTTATTCCCAAGCAAAGGGCAGTCAGGAGAAGTAAAGGATTCATGTTGCAAAAACCTAGGAAGGGGGGCGCGGAAATGAATATCTGATTAGAACCATCATTCTAAAAAGTCATCTTCTGTGACGTTATAGTATGTGGTGAAGTAAAAACATTTAAATAGTCTTCTCAAATATTCCCAACAGACTTATGGAAGGCTAAGGATGTGGGTGAAGAAACAGGCCAAGAACTTATCAAAGAGTGGCGGCATTTGACCCCGTCATCAAAACGAAAAACAGGCTGACACGATATAGAAATTGGAACAGATTTCATTGTAAGAGCACAATAATTCAGGTACTGATGAAGTGGATTCTTAATGCAACAACTAGTAAACTGTTGGTTCTTGTTACTTACCAAAAAAAAAAAAAAAAAAAAGACCCAAAGAAATCTGTTTTTCAGGGCAAACTAACCCAAGTAGGCTAAGGGTATCCCCAAGAGTACCCCACTTTTGTTCTCCACTATTGTAAAGGCAGGTGAGAACTACACCATACAACCCTTCCTGAAGTCTTTTTGAAAAGCTTTCCCAGGAGGCGGGTAGGAGTACCCCCAGCGCTCAGCTGTCCCCACACTTGGCCCCTGCTACCCACCTCCCCTACCGCCTCTCCAGACCCGGGTATGCGGTCACGTGGCACGACTAAGCACAAGAAGGGTCAGGATCTCCTGGGACAGAACGTGGACTGGGCCAGGCCCACACCGGCGCCACAAGCAAGGCAGGCAGGGCCAGGGCTGTGCCTCCTCGCTCGCGGCCGTGAGCAAAAGCCTGCAGCTGCTAAAGGTTGTTGGCCGCAGGCCCCGAGCCAGAGTCGGGTGAGGGGGGCCAGACGGCCTCGTCCCACCAGAACGGGCCTCGTTCGACGGCGACCCAGGGGTCTAACCGATGCCCGCCGCCGCCCTGAGGCTTGCCGGCCTGGCCCAGCCCACGATCTCCAAGGGCTCAGCGCCGCACCGGGTACCCCGAGTCGTTCTCCCTCCTTTCCCCACCTCAAAGCAGCCCGGCTGAAGGCCAAGCCGAATCCAGCCGCGCCAGCTTCCTCCGCCGCGTCACCGAACCGGCCCCCCTCCAGCCCCGTCCCTTTCCACTCCGGAGCCCACCCCCGCCCGCTGACCTGCGGCGGCCCCGCTGCGCAGGCGCACACGGACGCTCGCAGCTCCTGCTAGGTCGCCGGGCCCGAGGCTGGAACCCGCAGCACCCGACTCGCCCTTTAAGTTCTCCAGACTCGCTAGGTGGGGGTCGGCGCCTGCGTCTCCTGCCCGCGATTGGCTGCGGCGATCTGGGGCGGGGCCGAGGGCGCCGGCTCTCCCGGCGCGTGACCCGGCTCCGTCCCGGCTCTGTCCCGGCTTGTCCCGGGCGGCGGTCCTGCCTCAGTGGCGCGGGGCGCGGGGCGTGGGGGAGGGGAGGCGGGCGCGGGGGAAGGGAGGCGGGCGTGGGGTCAGCTGACGGCGCTGGCCGGGCCGGCGCCTCCCTGAGGACCCGGATCAGTTAATTCACGCTCGAAGCACTTGGGACACTAGCAGAAGCTACGGCGAGCCCCAGGTGGATTTTTAGCTAAACCTCATTTCAGCCCTAGAATATTGGTTAAAACTTCTGGGGCAGAGAACACTAGAGTCTGGTCTAGTGGTGCCTGTTTATTCCACAGCAGAGGCGGGGCCGAGTGGAATGCAGAGCCCGGGGGAAGACGCGTTATCTCCGTTTCTGGGTGGGCTGCAGCTGGGTTCTGGAAGACGATGGCAATTCCCCAAACAGGGCGATGATTCAGCTTCAAAATCTGGGAGGAAAAGCTAATGGCTTGGGTGGGTCTTCATAAAAGGTGTGACATTATGTAATGTGTCTTCCCTAGTTCAGGGAGTTTTCCCTCTCAAGCCTTTCTCAAAACCAGCAGGGACTAGTTACATACTGAAAATTTTGCCTTAATATAAAGGAGAAAAGAGGTTGAGAAGAGCAGAAGCTGCGCTCTCTGCACTGTGGATCAGTGTCTTTCTCGGTATCCAGCCTACTTTTCTTGAGATTTAAGAAACGTACTTTAACAATATTTAATGCCAGGTTTTAGGTTATGCAGTTTAAGGAAATGTTTTAGATGTCAGTATACATTTTGTATATATAATAGATAAGTTTATAATCACTAAAGATTTAAAGACATTAATTCAGAAACCTTCCTAAAGTTTATTAAATTATGTAAGAAACATTTGAGTCCTAGAGCAAGTTAGGGCTAAGTAGGCAACTTTAGGGACAGTGCAGGCAGGGATTTTGGGAAAATTAAAAAGCTTCTGAAATAAGGAAAGAGAATTCCAGGAGGACTAATGAGGGCAGTAAAATTTAAGGCTAATAGGGAGAGTAAATTTTAAGAGAACTTAGACAGGGGCAGTGAAAGAAAGACTAAGAGAAGAGCTGTAAAACTGGACATAGCTACCCAGGGAAGTACAGCCACTGAGAGAGAGCCGGTCACCAAGAGGATGATGAGATTTTAGAATAGAGAAAAAAGGTTTAAATATCCCTTAGACACAGGCCCATGGGGCATCTGTTGCTCCTCCTTGGCATTGCTGCCTTGGAGTCTTTGCTTTTGTTCTTTCTCCTGTAAATAAACTTTACTTTCTTGAACAGAGTTTGTTTCTCTTCATTTATTTATCTGAGGGTTTGTCTACAAATTCCTTTTTACGGCTTCCTGGGACAAGAACTTGTGGTGGTTCAAGGTTATTGGGATAAACAGCAGCAGCAGATGTAATCATGATAACAGCACATCCTGGCTTCACATTCATTGTAGAAAATAAATAACCCTTGTCTCCTCCATAACTCTTTTCTAGGCATTTCCTTCCCTCCTTCCCTCCTTCCTTCCTTCCTTCCTTGACACAGTGCAAGCTAGAATTATGCAGTTTTAGGGACAGTGCAGGAGGGGACCTCTGAAGAATTTAGGGAGGCTTCAGAGATAAGGACAAGCAAGGGAAAGTAACCAATTCCACTAGGAAAAACAAACATCCCAGGACCAAGGACAACATTGTTAACGCTGGTCCTGGTTTCCTTCAGGTGGTAAAGGGAGGCAGAGATTGGAGAAATGGAGAGTGGTTTAATTTATGGACAATTTAGAAGGGCAGCTGTTTAACTTCAATGCAGGGATGGCCATCCAGAGGACTAGGCCATAAAGATGTAACAAATGGGGAAAGACAAGGCTGTTAGATAAGGGATGTGAAGATCCCTCACTCAGTAGCAAATGAAGTGAGACAGACGAGAACTAACCAATCACAAAGAGACTGGTGGAGCTTTAGAATAATGAGGGAAAGAAGGTCTATATTTCCTGAGACACAACTCCACTTTGGCTTCCTTGCCCCTCCCAGGCCTGGTTTCCTGGCCTGGGAGTTCTACTTTATTTCTGTTCCTTTTCTCTTCAATAAAGTTTTTCTTTCTCTAAACAAACCTGCCTCTTCTCGCTTGCTTGCCTGAGCGTCTGCGAAGTTCCTGTTGTGGCTTCGTGAGACACCAACCCGTGGGGGTCTAGTGGCTGGGGCTCAGCGCTGGCCTTGCAGCCTGGGATCCCTTGCTGGCTGAGAGACTAGGCTTGACAATTCTGGTATCCCTCCCTCCCTCCCTCCCTCCCTTCTTTCCTTCCTTCCTTCCTTTATTTTATTATTAATAAATTGATTTTGTTAATATACATATTAACAAAAATGGAGTCATAGTTCTTGTTGATTTGTTAACTCTTAATGTCTAAGAAAATAAGCAGAAATCAATTTGGGACACAGAAAAATGCTATCAATGTCAGAGTTAGCTATAACAAAGCAGTTTGGCTGTGAAGATGCCCGGTAGGCTGCCCCAAAGACCTGGAACACCATAATTCCATACCTCCACATTATATCGCTGCTGCCAGAAGGATAAACAATAGAATGTTTGACCAGACCTGGAAATTCACAAAATACATCTTTTAAAATAAAGATTTTTATGAACTAATTCTTGCATTTCTCACATATAGATTGCATCTGAGCTCACGGATAAGGACTCCCTTAATGTATACAATGCACTCCACTACCTCCTAACTTTACCTATGAATGTTAGAAAATTATTGGGTAACCACTTCTAAAACAAATATCTTGTATAGAAAAATTCATGTGGTTTTTCTACTGCTTATCACAATGGCATAGAAGCTATAACCTACTTCAGGACAGAGTGCTGCAACTGAACAGGACATTTTCTGGCACTGTACTATGGGCTAGTACTCTCTTTTGACTCAAAAAACAAAAATGCTAACTTTAATCATCGCAGTGGTAATTAGTTAACATCGATAATCTAAATAGAAACACAATCAGATAAATACATGTTTTCAAAAATCAATTTATTAAAAATTACATTTTATGTACTTTGAAGTAGAATTCTTTCCGTTTCAAACACAGCTAGGTGCTAGAAGCTCTCAGATGATTTCAAAGGATATTTTATTGCATTTGGCAGGAGTTTTTTCTTTTACAATCAATCATGACAGTCAACACCAGCATCATTCACATGTGGAAATAAATGAAGACCACCTGCAACTTACTATAAGAAATTAGATAATTTGGGGCCTCCCTGGTGGTGCAAGAGATTAAGATGCAACCTATGAAGCTATCCTCAGCCACTGCAGCACAAGTTCGATTGCACAAGTTCGATCCCTGGCCAGAGAGGTGACCCACATGGCACAGTAGACCTCTCCTGCTTGCCTGCTGCTCCCCTCAGCAGTGTATTTCAGTGGATCTGCCTGTTCTGTTCCCTACTCTGTCTCTGGTGAATCCTCTCACCCCCCTCACCTCTGGCCTGTACCCCAGTTCTTGTATGTATAAATACATCTTAAAAAAATGAGATAATTCAAAGACAGTCAGGGTGGGGGGAAAAAAACCTAATAATAAAAAAATAAGGACGCTTGGGGTAAGCCCTGATTTGAGGCTGCTGTCAAGGGGCATTTGGAGGAGAAACAATTAGAAACATAATAGTCCATGTGACTGGTTTGGGGACGATGTTTGTATTTCTCTGGTTTGTTCTGAGCTAGAAAAGGAGGCAAAAATGAAGTTTGTAGCCATTCTTGGCTCTTGAGATGGTTGCTGCAGAGGTTTCTGTTGTGGGTCAGAGTTCTATTGTCATATAAAGTATGACCATTGTTCATTTGTTTACTCAGTGATCACAAGAAACTTAATTTATTCTAACATGTGGGTTTTACAATTGCCTTTGGGCCATAGCACCATAAGATTGCACAGGGTGGAAAAACCTGCTGCTGTCTTAACATCTGGGCCTTGAGCAATAACCATAACCTGACAGAAGGCTGTCTGGCAGGCACTGCTCCAAAGAATGTCATCCCCTTTGTTTCTTGGAATGTGTCACAAATGCAATGGAGGAAAATTAAATCAAAACCTAAAATTAAATCAAAACATACCTAAATTCAGGAGAAAGCCATTTAAGCAAGAGAGTGGAAGCTATTGTTCAAATTCATGACATCTCCTTATACATAATCTGCCTAATAATGTTTAACAGAAATGTGTTGCTCCTAACCATCATGTTCTACTCCTTTTTCTATTCTCATTTCTTTGTAAAATAACTTAGATGAATGCTAATTATTAAAATGGTTGCATTTTAGTTACATGATCAAGGCTTAGCTCTGTCTTGAATAAAAATAGAGTTGGCAGAACTTCCTTACTCCTATTTAAAATGCAGCATTTCAGATGGCCAATAGACACATGAAAAAATACTCATCATCACTTATCATTAGGTAAACAACAATCAAGACCAAAATGAGAGACCATCTCACATCTGTGAGAATGACCCATCTCAAAAAAATCCAGAAACAAGTGTAGGCAAAGATGTGGGGAAAAAAGGATCCCTTGCATACTGTTAGCGGGAATGTGAACTGGCCCAGTCCCTATGAAAAAAACAGTATGGAAGTTTCTGAATATATTAAAAATGGATCTACCATATGACCAAAGCAATTCTACTCCTAGTTATTTACCCAGAAAATACAAAAACACTAACTCAAAGGGATATATACATTCCTATATTCTTTGCAGCACTATTTAGATTAGTCTAGCTATGAAAACAACTTATGAGTGCAAAAAAGAGTA